AGGAAATACCTTGACGAAGGGGCCGGAGCGAAGAGAGTTGAGAAGACAAGCCAAAGAAAGAAAGAAAGGAAGAGAGAAAGAAAAGAGAGGAAGAAAGAGAAAAAAAAGAGAAGACGAATCAAATAAAGAAAAACAAAGAAGGAAAGAGAGGAAAAAGACAAATACAGGAAAATAAAGCGCAGAAATAAAAAAGACCAAGAAATGTCATTCACTAGAAATCACATCATAAGTGTGTTCTACAAGTCTTGGTGAGAGACGGTGGAACTCAAAAAGGAAAAGAAAAGAAAAGAAAAAAAAATATGCATTCCTTTGACAATTCTCACGGCAGGTCAACCCTCCGATTTCCCTAATTCTTGCTTTTAAGGAATAATTCCAGGTCATATATTTAGCTAAACAAGATTCTTTCTAATAATAACAAAAAACATAACCACAACATGCTGATTCCACTTTATTATTATTTTTCTTAACCAGCATTCATGTTTTGCGATCCCCTGAAAAGCGCGGTAAACACCTTCCCACACTTAGCCGTTTCCGAACCAGCACTTCATTTTCGCCAAGCTGCGGCTTCCGTACAGACTGATTATTCCCCAAATGAAATTACCTTTTTCACTTAGGCCGGGACTGTAATCTCAGAGCCCCGGCAAATGCGACCTCGTGTTATTGAAGGCCTTAATGTGTTTTGCTAATAACTAGAGTCTGGGCCTCCGAGGGGGGAAACGCGGAGGGAACAAAAACCAACAACCTATTTGTCATAATCACCGAGTCACCCGCGGAAGTCGTTAAGGGTCAAAGTCACGGCCATTTGGGGAGGTTCTGTTAACCTCGGGGATTGCCAGCGACGGAGACCCCGTGGGGCATGAGAGTGCAAAGCCACTGGAGCACTTTGGGGCGCTGTTCTCGATCATAATTCATGACATAATCGGCCGTATTCACTGGTCTGTTGTATAGGTGTAACGTCAGGACCGGACGTTCCGCCGACCTCATTGTTAAAGGTGCGTGTATGTACTGCGGTTTTATTGTTGGTGTCAGATGCTATCTGCGGAGGACATCTTCACTAACGGTGAGGTCGCGTGATTCATCTCTCTCTGTATGTATATATGTATGTATGTATGTATATGTGTGTGTGTATGTATATGTATGTATATATAAATATATATGTATATGTATATACATATATATCTGTGTAAATATATATATATATATATATATATATATATATATATATATATATATTATATACATTATATATATATTATATACATACACATATATATAATATATGATATACATACATACACACATATATACACATATATATAATATATAATATACATACATACACACATGCATATACACATACGTACATATAGATATACGTATATATGTCTATACGTATGTACATATATATATATATATATATATATATATATATATATATATATATATATATGTATATATGTGTGTATACATATACATATATATGTGTATGAGTTTGTGTGTGTGTGTGTGTGTGTGTAATATGTATATATATATATATGCATACATATATATATATATATATATATATATATATATATATATATATATATATATACTTACACATATACAAATACATACATACACATATGCATATATGTATATCTATCTATCTATCTATACATATATATGTGTGTGTGTGCGTGTATGTATATATCTCTATGTGTATATATATATATGGATATACATATATATATATATATATATATATATATATATATATATATATATATATATATATATATATATATATATATGTATATGTATATATATACATATATATATATATATATATATATATATATATATATATATATATATATATATATATAAACGTACATACATACACACACACATAAACATATATATATATATATATATATATATATATATATATATATATATATATATATACATATGTGTGCATGTGTGTGTGTATGTGTGTGTGTATGTGTGTGTGTGTGTGTGTGTGTGTGTGTGTGTGTGTGTGTGTGTGTGTGTGTGTGTGTGTGTGTGTGTGTGTGTGTGTGTGTGTGTTCGTGTATGTGTATGCATGTGTGTGTGTGTGTGTGTGTGTGTGTGTGTGTGTGTGTGTGTGTGTGTGTGTGTGTGTGTGTGTGTGTGTGTGTGTGTGTGTGTGTATATGTATGTATATTTAGACTCCAAACCAAGCCAATCCTCTTCCCATTACCCCAAACCGGCTTCCTCAGATCCTGTCTAAACCATCATTCACTCATCTTCACGAAGGTCGATCACCCTCATGTAAAACCACAGAGTGTTGGATCTTATCGCTCAACCTCAGCGGCAAGGAGGAGGGGGGAAAAAGAGAAAAGTGGCCCCGCTGTGATATGACATGACATGACAAACAGCGTATCATATCAAATCGAACTTTCGCTGATTGAATCCACTTGCTGTTGACTTCTTCGACACCTGTTTTCTTGTTCTGTTTTGATAAGCTGGAGGTGTTTGATTTTTTTTATTTTTTTATAGATTGATGTTCTTCTTTTTCTTCACCCCTATCTCTCTTGGTTATCTTCTTTTTTCTTCCCTCTTCTCTATCCTTTCTGTCTTTTCTCCTCCCTCCCCCTATCTCTCTCATTTTCCTTCTCCCCCGTCCCTCTCTCATTTTTTAAAATCTTTTTTCTTCTTCTCCCTCCACCCTCTTTATCAATTTTGATTACTTTTTTTTCTCCTCCCTCTCTCCTTTTTTTATCTCTCTTCTTCTCCCTTTCCCCTCTCTCTCTCTCTACTTTTTTATCCGATCCCCGACTTTCTCTTCTCTTGACTGTCCCACGATTTGGTATTTAATATGAATTCATAACTCGAAGCGCATCCTGGTCACTGCTTCTTCTACAGTTACGCTTTCTTACTGCGCTTTCTCCATTGTTGTTGAATCAATCTTGTAACGCATTTAGAAAAAACAACAACTCTATTTGCTTATTATTATCATTATTATTATCAATTATTATTATCATTCGATAACGATATCCTGGAGCTTCATAAGAATAGAAATGGTATTCTGCTATTGGAATTCTTCCTGTTTTCTCGTTTCTATAGTTTCTAATTATCAATCATATCTATATTATCTATTCTCCTCATTCGTTACCCCCAATGCTTTCCATTATTCCCATAGATAATTGATATATACATAGTTTTGCTCTGTATAACATCAGCCGCAACAGTGGGCTTCTTAGGTCTGTTTAATAATAAAAAGAAGAAAAAAACCTGAATTACGACACAGAAACATCTGTCAACTCAAGATTATGGAAAGTAATGGTCACAAAAACGAAAGAAAGAAAAAACACTGGAACTTTCTCTCCGTTATCGCTATTCATATTTCTGACTCCTGGATGTGATGTGGCACACAGACAGACACACACACACACACACGCACACACACACACAAACACACAAACACACACCCACACTAATACACATACACACAATAACAAACAATGATACAAATAGATTAATACACCCACAATACCCGTAATACAACACACTAAGCACATCCCTTTGCATTCCCCCTTGTCCTACA